TGTATATGCTAATAAAAACTACCCAAAATAGTTAAAAAAATTAGCCCCTTTGCTTGTCCAACTGATCAGAAATACCACCTGTACTAACCAGTTAAATTCTTCATGTATTGGTACCTCTCAAAATTTTTCTGTTGGAAGAATTCATCTGTCTATTCCAGTACCTATTCCACATAATTTTAATTATGGAAGTATAATAATTTAAAAAAATTGATATTATCGTTTCAATGCTTAAAATTTTAGGCAGCACCACTTACTTTTTCTTTTAGATATGTTAACAATTGATTTAAGATATAAATGAGTTACATATCACAAAACGATTTAATGAATACTTGTGAAATCACCATGCGATATCTTCCACATAAAACAATTGTAGTCTGTACCTGTCTCTCTGTTCCTCTCTTCTCTCATCCACCTTCTTCTTCCCATTTTGAGGTTACCATTAACTAGAATTTTATATTTACTGTTCTGTTTTTTGACAGTTAAAAATCATACATGTGCATACATACATATGTATACATTTATAGTGTGTGTGTGTGTGTGTGTGTGTGTGTGTATGTGTGTGCGCGCGCGCGTGCGTGCATGTGTGTGTACTGGGGAATCAAATGTGGGGTCTTAAGCCCATGAGGCAAGTGCTCTCCACTGAGTTACATCCCAATCCTTCCATTTAGTTTGGAGCTTTTAAACTATAGTATTATACTGTATGTCTTTCGGGATAAACTTGTTTTTTTTTTACTCAATATTGTGTTTCTAAGATAAACCCACTCAGCTATTGTCCATACATTCCTCTCTGCTATAGTATTTGAGTGAAGTTGACAAAAATCTATCATTTGTTGCTGAAGGATCTTTGGATTATTTCCTTAATGAAAATGGGCATATCACAGTTCTTGTTCATTTCTCCTGCTGTACTTATTTTCTAGGGTACATACCTATATGTGGAATTGCTGGCCCACAGGGTACACACACACCTTTAACTGTACAAAGTAATGACAATTTGTTTTGTAGGTAGTTGTACACACTCTCTAAAATACATGTATAAGAATTCCTGTTGATCCACATCCTTCTTAACAACTGGGTTTGTGCCTCAAACTCATTATGTAGCCCAGGCTGGCCTGGAACTCTCTATCCCCCTGCATCAGTCTCCTGAGAGCTGGGATTATAGGTGTATACCACCATGCAGGCTTTTTGAATTAATTATATATTCTGGGTATTACCACCTGTTGGATGAATAGCTGGCAAAGGTTCCATAGGCTATATCTTCCTCAGGTAACTGTTTTCTTTGCTATGCAGAAGATTTTATTTGATGTAATTCTATTTGTCAATTCTTGCTATTATTTCCTGAGTTATTGAAGTCTCATTCAGAAAGTTGTTGTCTATGCTTATATCTTGAAATATCTCCCATATGTTTTCTTATAGTCATTGCAAAGTTTCAGGTATTACATTCAGGCCTTTGATCCATTTTGAATTGATTTTTGTACAGGATGGGAAATAGGGATCTAGTTTCAGTCTTCTGCATATGGATATCAGCACCATGTGTTGAAGAGGCTGTCTTTTTTCCAGTGTATGTTTTGGTGCCTAGGTCAAAAACCAGATGGTTGCACCTGCTTGGGCTTATTTCTTTATCTTCTATTTCATTTGCCTTATGTATTTGTTTTTGTGCTAGTACCATGCTATTTTTGTTACTATGGCTCTGTAGTATAATTTGAAATTGGGTATTGTGATACTTCCAGTGTTGGTCTTTTTTGTTCAGGATTACGTTGACTATTTGGGGTCTATTGTGTTTCTGTATGAATTTTAGGATTTTTGGTGAAGAATGGCATAAAAGTTTTGATGGGGATTGCACTGATTTTTGTATATTACTTTGTTAATATGGCCATTTAAATGATATTTATTATGCTGATTCATTAATATGTAAGGTCTTTTTGTCTTCTTTAACTTCCTTAGTGTTTTATAATTTTCTTTGTAGAGGTTTTTCATCTTCTTACTTAGTTTTTCCCCACAAGTATTTAATTAATTTATTTATTTTGGGATTATTGTGAATGGAATTATTTTCCTGATTTCTTTCTCAATGTTATTGTTATATGGAAAACCTACTGGGTTTTGTACATTAATTCTGTATCCTGCTACTTTGCTGAAAGTGTTCATTAGATCTAGTTTTCCAGTGGAGAAACTCCACTATATATGTATATATTTGATCATATATACATAATATATGATCACAGAATCTGCAAATAGGGATAATTTGACTTGCCCATTTCCTATTTGTATCCATTTTATTTCTTTCTCTTGCTTTATTGCTGTGGCTAAGAATTCTAGCACTGCATTGAGTAAGAGTGGTGATGGTGGATACCCTTATCTCATTCTTGATTTAAGTGGAAACACTTTTTAGTTTTTTTTCCATTTAGTATAATGTTGTTGTATATAGACATTATGTTGAAGTATGATCCTTCTATTTCTGATTTCTTCAGAGATTTTATCATGAAGGATTGTTGAATACTGTCAAAGGCTTTTTCTGCATCTATTGAGATTATCATTACGATTTTCATCATAGATTTTATTTATGTAATATACTATATTAGTAATTTGGATATGTTGAGCCAACCTTGCAACTCTGATCTGAAACAAACTTGATCATGGTGTTTGATTTTTTTGTGTTATTGAATTCAGTTTGCAAGGATTTTATTGAGGATTTTATTTATGCTCATTAAGGAAACTGGTGTATAGTTTTCTCTTTTTGTATCTTTATCCAGTTTTCATAATACAAGATTCATAGATAGAGTTTGGAAGCATTCATTCCCTTTGTATTTATGGAATAGTTTGAGGAGCATTGTTGTTAATTCTTTGAAGGTGTGACAGAATTCAGAAAGAATATTTTCATTACTGTACTTTTCTTTGTCGGGAGATCATTCCTGCTTACATATCATTGCTCTTTATTGATCTATTTAGGTTGTTTATATCCTCTTGGTTCAATTTTGGTAGGTAATATATGTCTAGAAAGTTACCTATTTCTTCTAGATTTTACAATTTATTGCAATACATGTTTTCAAAATATTCCCTAATGAGCCTCTGGATTTCAGTGGCATCTGCTGTAATATCTCTATTTTTGTCTTTAATTTTATTAATTTGGATCTTTTCTTTTTATTAGTTTGGTTAAAGTTTTGTCAGTCTTATTTATTTTTTCAAAGAACTAACTCTTTCATTGACTTTTGTATTGTTCTTTTAGTCTCTGTTTCATTAACTTCTACTCTGATCTTTATTATTTCTTTCAGTTTAGTAATTTTGGGGTGGATTGTTCTTATTTTTCTAAGGCCTTTAGGTGTATAATTAGGCTATGCACTTGAGATCTGATTTTTTTTTAACATTGGAAGTCAGAGCTATAAACTTCACTCTTAAAACTGCTTTTGCTGTATCCAATAGGTTCTGGAAGTCCTATTTTTCATTTCATCCAAGGAATTAAAAAATTCCTCCTGATTTACTCAATGACTCACAGATCTTTCAAAAGCATATTGTTTAATCTGCATGTATCTATAATTTCTATTTCTATTGATTTCTGGTGTTACTCCATTATAATCTGACAAGATACAAGAAATTATTTCAGTTTTTTTGTATTTGTTTAGACTTTAGGTTCTAAAGTGTGATCTGTTTTGGAGAACGTTCCATGGGCGTCTAGAGGAATACATGTTTGGGAGCTGTTGTATAATCTGTAGAAGTCTCTTAAGTCTCTTGGATCTATGGTGGCTTAACTGAAATTTCTTCGTTGATGTGGCTTAATGTCATGTATTTAGGAAATTCAGATTTGTGATTGTTCAGAGCTGTCTCCAAGGTCGGGTACTTCTTTACACTATATTGCTTTCCCATTTTTATTCTCATGTTCTCTCCAGGACTATTGCCTTTGAGTTAAGCTTTTTGTGACTTAAGCTTCTTGGTCTCTGAGAAGGGGATGATTCTTCTTCACAGCATTCCTCTGAGGAGTGAATGTGATAACCCAGGTGAAATGATTAACAGGGAGCCGAACACTGCAGGCCAGCCCTGCAATTCTGTCGTACAGAATCTCACTGCATTATAATTTTCATTTACCGGTGCTCCTGGACTGAGATAATCCCGCACACTTCTCAAATTTGTCTATGCTGTCAAGAATTACTGTGAACCGCAAAGAGCTTGTGTGTATGGCTCTCGGGACCGTGTTGACATTGAAAACAAGAAATGTTCCAAAACGAGAGCGGTCAGCTCGAGCTCCCTTAGCTGCTGGAGTGATGACGTCATGTACACCAGGTGAGAGACAGGAAGGTGAAAACGGGAAGCAAGCGTGTGCACCATTATGGAAAACGGTTGTGACTTCGTGGGAACCCCAGGCTCCCCGACCCCACTTTGACAACTGCTGCCCTCGGCGAGGATTCCGTGCCAGGAGGCTGGCGCTCGGTACTGCTGGATGGACGATCTATCGCACTCTGGTTGTGCAGAGGAACGACCAGAACTCCCTTGCAACCCTCGGCCGCCACAGTGGCTTCCCCGCCACCTTAGCAACCGCCCGCGCCGCAGCTCCGCCTGCCCTCGTCCCAGCTCGCGCTCTTTCTTGCCCTGGGCAACCTCCCGAGCCCACTGCTACTCCTCAGCCTGCTCTTCTGCACTCAGCTCCCGGCAACGCGCGTCCCAGAGACCCGGCCTCCCCGCCGCCTCACAGCCGACGCCAGGCTTCCATGGCAACCAGGCGTCCGCACCCTTCCACCGCTCTGGGCTAACCCATTCGTTTTAGGGACTTTCTCCGGCGTGGTCAGAAACAAGAGGACTTGGTAGAACGTTACCGAAAGCTACTCTGCTCACAATATTTTGCAGCTGGAAAGATACACTTCTTTTTTTATTCTGGCCAACTTGCCTCCGCGAAGGCGGCGCAAGGCCTCGCCCGTTCCGTCCGTGCATCCCCACTGCAGCCTGATGGTCCGGCCCGCCAGGCGCGCGGGTTGGCTCCGAGGCGGGGTGCGCGCACGACCTGACGCTTAGGGGCGGGGTCACGAAGGGGGCGGGGGGGAGTGAGTGGGCAAGATGGCGCCCGGCGAGTAGCTCTCCCCGGGTTCCTCCAACGGCAGCGGAGACGCCGGGGCGGGGGGTCCTGCCTCCTTTGCCTGCTTTCCTTCTTTCCCCCGCCCCCGGAGGCCTCCTCCTTCCCTTCCTCCCTCCACCTCAGGGGGCGGGCCGGGTTCTCGGACACCATGTCGGACTCTGAGGAGGAGAGCCAGGACCGGCAACTGAAAGTCGTCGTGCTGGGGGACGGCACCTCCGGGAAGGTCAGTCCTCCAGCGGGCCCGCCGTCGCAGGCCTGCAAGAACCCCGGCGCGGCCCCGGCGCCACTTCATTCGTCCCCGAACCCGGGGGCCTGTAGGCCCGGCCCTCCTGGTGGTGGCCGGGCTGGGCACGAAGAGGGCGCGTGGTGAAAGGCCGACTAGAGCTGTCCAGCGCCCCCTTAAAAATAAAAGTCAGTTCCCAACTCGCGAACTCCTGCAAGACTCAGGCGAGCATCGCCTCTCTGGGATGCTGTCCAGCTGTGGGCTGTGCCCTGGCCAGGATGTCCCGGGCGTCTGACCGGCTCCCACCTGCAGCCCAGGTCACGCCGTGCGCCCCCGCCCCTCCCGGTGTCTGAGGCCTGCGCTGCACAGTGAGCTCCCCGGAGCGGAGCTCGGCCCAGCCATCAGATTGCCTGGGTGCGAATGGGGGCTCGGTCACCCCCCGGTCTGGTCATTGCCCAGGCCCGCTTCGGTAACGGGGTGCAAGGTGAAAAGACACGCCAAGCTTTTGGAATGCGATGTGCGCTTAGTAAACTTGCGTTGCAATTTTAGTATAGTATCTGTTCCCAGCCTAACACCTGTCAGTACAACATTGTTTCCATAAATACTTGTTGAGCTCCTTTTGTGGGGCAGGATGCCGAGGGTGCAGCTGCTCGCAGGGCGAAGGGATCCCTGTTTTAAAATCTAGAACGAATGAATGAACGCGTGCGGAAAGTGAGGTTACCCCGCAGCCAGTTGACATACTTCACTTCTCAGGCAGTGGTTTTTGACCCGAAGTTGTGGAGCTCATGAAATTGGGATAAACATTGCCTGGTACTTTCCCTGGGGAGAGGGTCCTTAGGACCTCAGAGGGACTGTGACCCACCCTCCAAATAAAAGGGAAGAGCCTTTGCCCTGGGCGTCCTCACACCTGTCGCTTCTGTCAAAGGCGCAACCCTGGGAATATTGCTAAAGTTTGTTTCCCTTCTCCCAGCCGGAGTCTTCAGAAACGCTGGCACTTTCCTGTTTTAGGCTTCAGATGTGCGTGTTTCTGGTGTAATTTGGATCCTGGTTTCCTTGGTGACGGCTCTGTTTGCATCCTTCCTGGTACCTGGCACTGTCCAAGCTGCCCCTGCTCTTGGTTCTGAAATTTGATTTTCTAGGGTCCCTAGGAAAGATGTCCTTCATTTGCAAAATTTGGAGTATTCTCTTAACTTCTTTATTGTCTTCCGAGCATACATTGTTACCCAGTTTTATTCTGAGGAAAACAATTTAATGTTTTAGTAATAGTATAAGTGGTGATTTTACCTTTAAATATTTTGGGGAAGAAAAGAACTTGGGGTCACTTTTCTTCAGGAAGTGTTATGTGAGAGTTTATGCATTTAAAAGCTTTTTGAATAACTGAATTGTCATAGATAATAAATTCAGCATTGTTTTTAATGATCTTGATTCAGTAAAAAGTTAGTTTTTATTATAGTTTTCTCATCACTTTGATTTTCTTTTGAAGGCCACCTAATTTTTTTCTTTCCTGTATTTTATTGTATTTAGTTAATAACTGAATTTATTTTCCTCTTAGAATTATAGTGAAACTCTTATAATACTAATACATTTGTAAAAAAAAGGCCCAAGTTTTCCATTAACCTTCATGGTATGTTTCTTTAAACTTTAGTTTGTTTTCTTTCAGTATTTTCTGTTGTACATGTACTCAGTTGAAATTTATTTATAATTTTGTATCTAAGTTCCTTTTTAAATTTAGATGTTATACCTATTTTTTTCTCCTTTGCTAATTTAGTGTGAATAATTACGGTTTTTCATCTCTGTTTAAAGTTCTGTCTAGTGTAGGACAAAGCATAATTTTTTCACCTCCACACTGTTGAATTAGGACTGTCATTCTGCTTCAAAGAGTAAATAACAATGATATTTTTTATGGTGCGCTGACTTAGTCTTCATCATCTTGATTAATCTATTTTAAAACTATAACAGCTTTTTCTGCCAGAAAATGAGCATCTGAAACCTAACCTTCCCTTATTGTTGTATCAAGCAATTTTGTCTCCGTATTCTCGCCAGCTCTGAAATTATTGGCAGCAATCTACCTTACTCTGTTTCTTTTAGTGTCCTTTTATTTTATGAATTCAGTTTTTCTTTCATTCTTATATTTAACTCTGCCATTTTTCTTATGGTTGTTTTTCTGGCTGATTTTAACTAAGCATTTTTATATACACTGACAAATACAGTAGAGAATAGTATTTGAATAACCACTAACAGTGTCTTCAAGAGAAATTTAGATCCATGGTTCAGAAACATGTGTTTCTGTCTCTTTCCTGTAATGATTCATACTTTTGTTTTTATTACATATTTTCTTGAGACTTTTTGAAGCAAAATATTATTTTTTGGAGTCATTATCAGTGTTAGTGTAGTTTTGTTAAAAGTTTTCTAAACATATATATATATGTATATTTGTATGTGTATATACAGATAAAATGTTTCAGATATGGTAGCTTGATTATTCTCATTAAGAATGATAATTATTTAGTAACTTATATGAAATTATTGGCTGTGAAAGATGCCATAAAGTATAGATAATTGAAGAGGAAGTGCCTCCCACTGATTTAGTTGATTCTCTGTGTACTTTTTATGGTGAGTTGTCAGATGATATAACAAGAACCTGTTTTAATACTCTGTTTCCTATGGCCTATACTTTTGATAGTTTATTACTATATTTCAATTGGAAATTCTGTATTTTAAGGCTTTAGATTTGTTTCAAATGTTTTTGAGGGCAGGACTTAAAAAATTTGGATGCCCTGTTTCCAAGACAAGAACTCAGGTTTTCTTTCATGAATATTAATTAGTTAATATAAAACATTAAAAATTGAGAATCTTAAAGTGAAAAGTTATGTCAAATGACATTATGATGATGTTATGTATGCCTCAAGGTACTCTGACTTAAACATTTCAAGTATCAATGTATTGGACGTCTGAAATACTGTAGTAGTATATTTGGTGATAGTTATTTTTCTCTAGAACTCTAAACCTCTTCACAGATGATTTTGTGTTCTGTTACGTAAGCTCAATGGATAGTTAAGGCTAACTGGAAACCAAAAAGTCCTTCAAAAGGAATGCTTAACTCTTTATTCTAATCTCTCAGTTTTGATAATGTTATATGCTGCAAGAAAGTAAATATCTTAGAAATTTACTACAAAATTTGAGTATTTAAATATTAACAAATTTGTAGTTAAGGGTGTGTGAATTGCCATTTGTGTGAAAAATATGGTTTATGTATAAAAGGAATTTTAGGCCATCATGTTAAAAGGAATTGAAATTTGGCCAAGTTTTCTTTGCACTGCTATACTTACATCATAATTAACTATAATGAGCTATCTTGGAAATTTTATTTTAGTTTTCATTATTTTAAGGGTTGACATCTAATTTAACTTTTAAAGTAAAAAGCGTCATTTTTCCCTAACTTTGACAATCTGTCTTGAAGAATGTAAAAACTTAGCTGCGTTGCTCTCCTTTCTTGGAGGTTGTCAACTAATAATATTGCATTTAAAATGCTTAAGAACTCTGAATTATTAAATTATTTCAGTTGTTACCAGAATGATTATTCTTTTGCTTTGATACGAAATGATACTTCAAAAGAAATCTCTAGTTCTTGAATGAAACTTTTATTTTTTTAAAAATGTTGATGAATATCTGTTCTGATTATTACATCTTATAATTTTTTAGTATTGTAATCCTTGGATGGAAACTTTATTTTGTCTGCTTCATATTCATCTTAAAAATACTAGCTTCTTCATTTAAAGATGCAAATTATCAGGGTCATTCTCTGTAGTTTTTATTTAACATCTCTAAAATAGAGAAAAATGAGACAATTAAGATGCTTTTCTTATAGGAAGAAGAGAAAAGATTTTATAAATAGCTTTCCTGTTGTTAATTAATTCTTATTAGCTGAGGACACAGCCACCTTCAAAACGTATAACCTTAGAAGTGAAACTTAGAGTTCTCGGCAATGTTTTTTGAACTGATAAGTAAAATTCAGATCTTTAATCATGTCACTTTAATTTTTCTACTGATAATTCTCAAATTCTAATTTCCATCAAGGAGATCGGGATTTAAAGAGATGTAACTGATGATGATGTTATCTCTACTCCTGGCTGCTAGCAAGTGAAATTTTAACGGTGATGTCAGGTCCCTTTTCCCATTGTAGATGAATAGAGCTGCTTACAGTTGCTTGTTGGATTAATTGGAATATAATTGTGAAGATTACTTAACATTTAGTAGTGTTCTTATATTTACATTTCCTAAAGAAATTAATTTTCTGTGCACCAATTTTTTTAGACTTCCTTAGCTACGTGTTTTGCTCAAGAAACTTTTGGGAAGCAGTACAAACAAACTATAGGATTGGATTTCTTTATGAGAAGAATAACATTGCCAGGTAAGAGACTAAAAAGTCTTAACATGGAAGACTATACAAGTCTTGCAGTAACAAGCATATGGCAGAAATGTGCTAAATACATTTTGGGGCTGCTTCTGCATGAAAATACATGTAATCGGTAAATATCTTAGGGAAGTTAGCTGTCATCAGCATCTACTATGAATATGAAGCATATTGTCCATGGATGTGAGACAAAGTTTATATACTCCCCAACCCCTGCACTATTTTTGGTCACAATGCATTTTTTGAGGATAAACAATAGTTGCTTATAAAATTTCAAAAGGCTTTAAAAAATTAAATGCTATATGTTGTTAACAGATGCTATGTTAACTAAATGTGAAAAGATTGGGAAGGATTATTTTTTAAAATATTATTTTGATTAGCTTCTACTTCATTTTTTTGTTTGAAAGTTGGAGCAGAAGTATAATGTAGCCATGGAACTTCTGTGCTCTAATACGTGAATGCTGTTTTATGCAAGGCAGCATGAAATTGCTGGCATTTAATAGACCACTAAAATTTAGGGTCCCTAGGCACTCATAAAAATACAGTTTGAGCATTCAAGATGTTTCAGTTCACCATGCAAAGAAACTATTTAGATGCCAGTTACAGCACATTTTGTGGGAAATACAGGGAAATAATAACACAAAAAGAGTGGTTTATGTTTTAAGTTAGTTTCTGAACAATTGGGGCTTTAAAATGCTCTATCCATTCAGTTTCAATGGTTAAGTTTTATGTTTAAAGTTTTTTATTAAAAGCAGTTTATCTTGATTAACTTTATAAACCATCTAGCCTTTCCTAAGTAAGGAAACACAATTGAATAATAGGGTTGCAAATGTAATGTTATATTGGACCATGAGTGATATAGTAGGAAAGGGCTTGGTACATTCCAGTATTATTGAAATATGTTAACTTCTCAAATACCCCATCTGTTGGAAGAGTCTCCATGAAAGTTATAGAGGAGCTAAAGAAAATGCTTGGTAATGGAGGTATTCTTCATATGTCATTGCTAATATACTTTGTTATGTATGTTTGTGATGGTTTGTATTCAGCTCTCAGTGAAAACAGATTAGGAGATACAGCATGAAGAAAAGAATTTTAATTTTTCTGTTACTCAGTTATTGTTCAACAAGAGGTTTAATGAGAAACATATGCATGTTTTATTTCATCTATATTTTCTTTTAATATATTCAAGCCAGAAAATAACATTTTAGCTGAATTAGATTTACATTTATGGCTTTGTTAATGCTGTATTCAGAATGCTTAGTAATAGTCACTAGTAGAATACACGCACCAGTTACGTAGTACACATGCTGAAACTTACTTGTGCAACATTTTTCAGAGATGTAGTTGTTATACACAGAGAACCTCAAAATAGTACTTAGCTATCAACCATTTTGTTTTGATGCTTAATTAGCAAAAGCACCAACTTATTATCTCATTAATTTTATTTAATTTTTTAGTTGAAAGAATTAAATAAAGGAACAAACACTTAAATATTATAAACAAAGGCTGGCTTTGGATGTTTTTATGTCTGTGATATTTGTGATGATTTCTGACTTGTTGCACAGCATTACCAGTTTTAAAATTGTGATTACTTTGTTGAAAAATGTTGCTATTCTTGAAGTCCAGATTTATAGTATAATATTTAGATTAGAACTATTTAGGTTAAAAAATGATATTTGGGAATGTGTATTCTCAATGAATATATATTTTAATTTTTTTGATGAAGTTTTTATTTCGATGAGCAGAGTTCCAAAAAAAATTTCCATATTTCTTAAAGACAGTTTGTTTTACACTATGTAGTGGATTCAAAATTATCAGAAATTTCAATATGAAAAATTTGTTTTAGTGTATCTTGACTTTATATAATTGATAGGCATATTAAGAGATGAGATGAATAAAGTACAAGATTCATAATATATCATATTTTATATCCTTTAACTCTAATTTTAACTCATTATAAGGGTCAAATTTAGGATGATTAATATTTGTGTCATTTGCTAAGTAAAACATTGCAGGCAGCATTATTAAATTTAGAACAGGACAGCATAGTATATAACTCCAATATATATTACTAGTTTAGTGAGTATCTGCCCAGTCGGTTATTAGGGGTGTAAACTTCCTGTCCATCTACTCACATTCTCTTCATGAAAGTTTTCAAGGTCATTACTTTGCAAATACTCATCCATTTTAGTGTGTTTCATGATCTGGTATGCTGTATAGTCTGGATGCAACCACTGTGCAGATTTTACTGCTTAAAATAGTGTATCTGTTAGTCAGAGATTTTGCTGATAGAGCTTCTTAAGAGCCTCAGTCAAAATACTTTCAGGAAGCTTGTGGGTACAGTCCAGTAAACAGCGTTCTACTGTGAAAAGGATTTCTAAGTCTTTAATACGAGAAGTGGGTAGTCTTGTGTTTTTAGTTCCATCTTTACTATGCAGCACTTTAAGGTTAACCAAAGCACCAAGTGTACTTTTACAAGGTCAGTGTTGAATCCTTTTGGTGGCTTTGATTCATACCAAGAACAACTTACCTGTATTTTGTCACTTCATTCATTTTATTTTTTTTCCCTAGTTACATGTCATTTTTCACAGAGTAACAGAAGTTCTGTAACAGCTTGCATTTGGGATTAGGTTGCTGGCAATTTCCTTAGTGTTCTTTAGTTGTTAGAAATTTGTGTTAGATGGATTCTGGATTTAAAAATTATAATATTGATTGTTTAACTCTTCTTACATAGCTTTATAGGAATGCCATCATGAAACTATAGTAGGAAACTCTTGAGGCCTGCAGAAACTAAAATGAAAATCAATTTGAATCACATCTTTATGTAATTTTGTTTCTCAAATAGGGAATTACCATTTTATTTTTAGTCTTATGTGTTAATTACCTTAAGATTCAAATGTAGAAGTTAAAATATATTTCTAAGTATATGAAGTAACTATCAAGTTAATATCACTTGTCCAAGTATAATGATAGTTTTTTTTGCTAGTATTCTAACAAAATATGCATTACTGATAATTCTAGTGGAATCTTTACTTTTGAGTCATTATAACCTGTATCTTAAAAAAAAAAAAGCAAATAGCAAGCAGTATTTGTTTGCAAAAGTATAGATTTAAAAAAAATATCCTCAGCACATGAATATAAATCTCCTACTTGGGAGATAATTGAATAGGAGAACTAGGGTCTTGAAAGGATTGTATTCAGAATTTGGAAACATGTAATGAAGACTATGTTCCTTAATTTACAGTTGAAGCACTCACAATGCCTAATTCAGATAGGCTCTGAAAGTCCAAATGTAAAGAAAGAAGAGGAAAGGGAAAAAAGCTTCATACTGATGTGAGGTTAAGCGATAAGGATTAGTGGCCTTGAAGAGGTGGGACTAAATACCTTTAATAATTATTAAGTGTTGCATAAAATCTTGCTCTGTGTGAAGAGTAACTTTCAAATGACTGTAGAGTTTTGCAAGTAAAATAGATGGCTTCCTGAACCTATTATCCACTGACTTCTGAAACTATTTCACATACTTCTAGCGACAGCTAGCTCTTTCTCACTAGATTAATCTGAGACAGTATTATAAATGAATAATTTCAGCTTTAAATCTCACAGAATTTAGATTTTTAAGAAATTGGGTTATATAAATTGTTGGACAAATCTTAGTCCATTTTGTTTTTACATTTATAGGCTTTAAGAGCATTTTGATCATTACTCTGAGCATTGGAAGTGTGTGTCTGTGGGAGTGGTGATAGGAGATAAAGTTTACTAGCTCTCATTAATGCTAATGGAAGCTCTTCCTGGAAGTCCTCTACACAGTGGCAGATGGACCAGACCTACATCCAAAATATGGAACGATTGTAATACAAACTCACCAAAACTTAGGCTTAAGGATAAAACTTTGCTGGTATCCAGCATTGTACTTTTTTTTCAGTTGTGTAGTTAAATGGTGTGACTAACATTCTCTGACTGTATTGTCTTTTTACATTGGTATAAAAATTCACGTCTTTTTAATTCTTTTTGTTTTTGAAGTAAGATCATTTTTTTTCAGTTTCTAAGTTTTATTATAGATTTTTGTAATTTGTGAATCAGGCAGAAGGTGCCAATTGAGACTTTGGAGAGAAATAATTTGAAATGTTAAACTAAAATGCATATTGGACATAGTCCTTGACTTTTGTAACTAAATTACTAATTGCATTGGTAAGAGAAAAGACCTTATCTCATATATTTATTTCATCTAAATATTTTTGAAAAATGCAGAAATGAATTTTAAAGATTGCCTTTCAGTGTTTTAGGATGCTTTTATAAATGCTTGTATGGGGAAGAAGTTTAATTACAGTATGTTGTCAGGGTTTGGAGCATAAAAGTCTCTTAATGGACATGCTCAACAGGGGTGAATCATAATATTTAGAGATATGTCATATGTATCCTACATCAGTTCTGAACAGAATTATCAAAAGTGTTTATATTTTTAGAGGTTAAATTTAAAAATATGTAATTTTTTATTGTTTACTGATATATGTAATAGCTGCCTTTCAAATTATAAAAGATTCATTCATTTCATTTGAAATTATTGGTGCATTTTTAATAGATGCATTTTTATAGTCTGTTGTTATTCTGTGAATTTAGAGTTTAGAACCAATAGCAAAATTCATATGGGTATATTAGCACATCAAGCTTCAGTTTTTATTTTTAAAGTACATTTTTTACTCCATTTACATGAGCTTTGTTGGTCTGTTTTGTGAGAATGTTGCTCCCCGCCCCCAGGGTTTAAGATTATTAATTAAAGGTTACTTTATTTTCTCTTGTTGTGGAGGTGATTGTAAATATGTCCTTGCATGATTTTTTTGACAACAGTATTTTTAGACTTGCAAATATCTGACCATGTGGGCTTGGAGAATAAAAGGCAAATTGGGGTCAGAGTTTATCATTGTGACTTAGTGTTCTATGAAACCGTGTTCATCATTTTATTGTTATAATGTTACTAAACTTTTTTGTGTTTTTATTTTATATTTTGTTCTTTATGTTCTAGGAAATTTGAATGTTACTCTTCAAGTTTGGGACATAGGAGGGCAGACAATAGGAGGCAAGATGTTGGATAAATATATCTATGGAGCACAGGTATGATGTGAATTCTATGATTATTCTAAGATCAAAAATACTCTTATAAAAATACACAGTGCACACATGTATGTTTTTTTCTAATTTGATTTTTTTATTTGACATGTAGAGAGATTAATTTTTCATTTGTAAAATTAATTTGATTAATTTCCCTTTGATTTCATCTTTCCCAGACTATATTTGGAACGGTTTGGGTAAGGGAACTGGTGATACTAACTAGTGGGAGTTGGAAACCTTCACAGCTTTCATGTACTGCTTATATTACTAGATAGTGTAGTCAGTAGTTGAATAAATACAATGATAAATGATATTTGGTATTATTTATTTGGTTACAGTGACTACTGCCATATAAACTGATTGAAAAAATATAGGTGAAAACTTCACCTGTATTTTGTGTCTATATTTTTGGGCTGTGAATTATTTAGTAGACACTCAATAATAGTCAATATGATTATGTGTATGAAGAACATACAGTTTTTAAATATGATAATAATATACTTCCAGAAGAAATCTGTGTAGAGCAAGAAAAGTCACCTAAATAATTACATAAAAATTCTTGGGTTGTAATAGACATAATTTATGTTTTTAAATAAGATTATGTAAATAAAAAGTATATATGGTTGTAATATACTTCAAAAATTATTTCTCTCTGAACATATTCAATTAAGAATAATTGCCTTTTTAATGCTTTGGCTGTTTGCTTTTGATTTAATGACTGAGACTCGGAATGTCATGGTCTGATGGAGTAGAGTATGTGGCATGTAGTTGAAAATGATAGACATGGTGCTTACTGAACTCTGTGCAGTAATTATTCATGTGCTATTTCTTTATTATTTCTTTTTCTAACATTTTTAATTAGTGTTTACCTGCCTCCTCATCATGAGACATTGTAAGGATAATATTCAAAATCTTCATTTAATTCTATATTGGAGTTTGGCATTTTAAATAGGAGGAACATAATATGGTTGTGTGGAACTCTTTCTTATGAGAAGTGAATCTATAGGCAGAGAGAATGTTGGTACTGTACAGTCCAAAATTCGATTCTTGTCAAATACATTCTCATTTATTGTGTAAAATATTCAGAGAAGTATAAATAAGGCTAATTTGGTTCTGAGTCATGTAGAAAAGCCTGAGAGTTTTTATTACTCATAATAACTTTCTTTTTTGTCTTTTCTACATTCTTTTTGTCTCCTGCAAAATCTTTCTGTTCTTGTATAACATTTATGCTTGTAATTATGTGTCATGATATTTTATGCACATTCATTTTTAAAAGGTTTACCTAAAATTTTAGAGTCTGCCTCTTTTGTTGCTGTTTTAAACTGGTTAGGTTCAAAGTAGATATTAATCTAAAGAAAACTGGCTGGACAGAGATATGTAGGAAGACATAGTCCTTGTTTAACTCAGAGGACTGATTAAACTGGATTTGAAATTAACACTGTTCTCCCTTTTTGCCCCATAAGAGCTATATTCAAGCCACATTCAGAGTTTTTTATTTTTAATGAAAAATCATACTGATGTAACATCTACTGATACTTGACTCTAGATTTAATAGTAGCCAGCTTTTAACAGTCCAGCTACTTAGTGAAGAACAGGAGTACTTTATGCATCTCAGGGTAAATAATAATATAAAATTAATTTAAGTCTTTTTTCTTCACTTAAAAATTAGAGGAATACAGTGCTCATGAATTGGTTTCTGTTAATTCTGTTTTATTTAAAATTTATTATTTAATCTATTTAAAAATTTTAAAATACATTAGTATTATTTAAAAATTAATATTGATAATGAAAATCGCATAATATAGAATTCACTATTCTAAAGTGCATAAGCTGTGGAATTTAGTATGTTCACAATGTTAGGTAAACATTCCCTTAAATCAGTGTATATTTTATATAGTTGCATTGTTGCTTACAATCAGTCAGAAGGCATTAATGTGAAAATTTGTAACCATTTTAAGAATTTCGATCTTAGAGTTCTTGGGTTTAATAAAATGTCTGTTTTCTTAATGTACTTCATTTCTTGGGAGAAGGTGAATGTTTTATACCTTATTAGAACTTATCATATTATAAGGCCTTTATCTTGAAGGTACATTTGATTTTTTTCTTTCACTGAAGCTTTATGTTGCTTATATTTTGTAGTTTGTTTTGACTGTTGTAAGCACATAACCTGTTACATTAAACAACAAAGTAGTATAGTATTTCTGAGAAATTCATGAACATTTTCGTGAAATTGTCCTAGGAAACAGGGAATTCTGAGATAATGAAATAAACTGCCATAAATTACTTTCTGTAGATTCTTAATTGAATGTTATATAAAATACACAGAAGTACTTTTACTTTGCATTTTGTTAAAATTTATATAAATGGCATATTCAGACCAGAGAAACGCTGAGTCATTGTTACCATAAATTGGAACTTTTTGAAGTTCCAATTCTTTTATTCTTAGTTGGACAATATGTCTTAGCACAGTGGTTGACAAAAGGCAGTAATTCCTATTTCTTCCTTTATAGTGTCTTCAGATTCCCTTTCCCTAGTTATTAAAATTTGTTGGGGAAGAAAAAGTTTTCTTCTACTGTATCATATTAACTTATGAGAGGGGACTGTGAATTAAACTGACGATAGATTACCAAAAGAAAGAAACATTTAAATACATGTGACTCCACAGGTATTCACAAAAGAATATGACAAGGAGTTGATTTGAACTTGGGGCTTATATACCATTTTAATAGCAGATGCAGAAGGGCAGATGGAGAAAAATTGACTTCTTAGCAGGAGAATAGAAAGGGCATTTAAGAAAAACAAATGACATTTTTTGAATGTTACTTTTTAGAAATAATTCTTTCAAAAATATTCTAATATATTTAATGACTTTGTGTTATACAATTATATAACTATTCTTCAAAGGAGATCTATATTGCTTTAAGAGTTGAGATGGATACTTTCTATTGCCTGACTCATGAATCTCAAATTTGGTACCTGTGTGCTACAGGACAGAAATCCTTCATAAGTAATATTTTGGCACACTGTTTTGAGGACATCAATTTAATGTGTTATTTAGGATTTTGTTTAAGTTCTCTAACTTCTGTGTGGTATATAGAAAAAATTATATATGTCTGGGCTAATAAGCTAAAGCATTTCTTAACATCCAGGAAGAAGTTTATTTGTAGGCTGGAAGTTAATTTTGGTCCAAATAAAAGCCTTTTCACTTCTTCTCCCAGTAACATTAAATTCAATAATCTATTGAATAGTGTTGGCTAAAACTAAGTTACATTGACACCCAAAAAGAATTAGTCAGATATTTTGTCAAGAACTAGTTCTAAGAATTGAAATATGTCCAGTTAAGTTCCCAGATTTTAAATTAACTTGAAATTTTCTCGGAGTCTTCTGAAAGATATTATAGGCTATTTTTCTCAGTGGTTAGGAGCAAACACACAGTACATAGTGTTTAGTGCCCTGTTACCTGTGGCTAACAGAGGCTAATAACAAACCTCAGAGAAGGACTGGATGTTTCATTTTTGTAGCTCTTTCCATCCTGGAATCTAAGTGGTTTGCAAACACTGCCTTACTGAGCATACACTCAATGAAGTGTAGTCATCTGTAAGGTAGAACACAACTACTATTGTGTGTCAGTGCCCCACAAGGATGAGCTAACAAAAGGGTTTGGGGCCTGTGTGACACCTGGGAAGAGAGCACATCTGAAAACTGGCCTCCTTGAAACCAACTGTTCTATTTTACTATGAATTTTTTAGTTGGATGTTTGCCATTTTATAGCTATATTTATAGCCCTTTTGCATCTGTGTGTTTTGAAGGTTACACTTATATAGCAAGATACTATGTTACAGATATTGTATAGTCTGTATGCTTTAATTAATGTATGTGACTAAGAACTAAATGTAGATTATTTCTCTTGCAGCTCAGGAAGAAAAAAATAATCTGCATTTTGGGAATGAGGGAACCTTTCATTTTTGAGATTCAATATTATGTGAAGTATGCTTAATGCCGGTTAAATTATAGAATGAAATCTATGCAATATTTTGATGTTACTATGATAAAGCAGATGAAAACAAAATACTATATAAAGTAATCTTATGTAATATTTGTATAAAAGTCTTAAAAAAGAAGGTGTGGTAGTATCTTTTTGGAATTGGAGGGGCAGGTAAAAAGTACAGTAAAAGGCATAAAAATAGAGATGTTCTGTATCTATGTATCCTACATCAGTTCTGAACAGGGCTATCAAATGTGTTTATATTTTTTGAGTTTAAATTTGAAGAAGCTGTTCTTCATTGAAGAATTTGAAGATGCAAAAAGATTTCTTAAACTTGAAATCTGATTTCCAAACGTCATAAAAAAAGGTTTGAGAAGAAGAAGAGCACTTGGAGGCTGAAAATTAGAGGAAACATAGGGTTATATAGGGATGAAGACATAGGAGGAAGATAAATGGCCTGTGAGTGGGTGATAACAAGAGCTGTCTGGGACACAAGACCTAGTGATGGGCTCAGATGGCCACAAAGATTGGAATAAAATTAGATCCCGCAGTCCCAAGGAGACTGCTTCAGATTTCAGTTGAGGTTACATGTTGCATTTCTGAGGGAGCTCAACTTGTTTGTGGGTAGGAATATTCCAATAGTTTTCTGGATGGAGTCAGGAGAATTCTGAATTGTGGTGAAGAGACTCAGATTTGAAGGTGCTTTTATTATAGGCTTTTGCAGAGATGAGTTCTTAAAGAGTTTTGGCTTCTTGGGGCCAAGGCTGACATGTAGAGGCCTCAAGTATCAAAAGTTTTGGTAAGGAATGCATTTCAAACAATTGATCTGTTTTATCTGTATGAAATTGTGCTCAAAAAGTTGCTCATATTATTATCCTTTAATAGCTGTGGTGTCAGTAGGATGACTTTCATTTATTTCTGATATTGTTAATTTGTGTTGTTTTTCCATTTAAAAAATTGATCCGTTTGAAGAACCAGCTTCTGGTTTTGTTGGTTTTCTGTATTGTATTTCTCTTTT